CCAGCTGGAGGAGGCTATATCAGCAATTGGATCAGTATTAGCCGATATGCCTCCTTAAATATTGGTATTGGCCAAAAAAATCTCTATCAGTGCACCCCTACTGAATATCCTTGTGTTAAACATGTTATTGTTATTTTCACAGAGTTTAAGAAAACCCAGCCCAGAACCAAGAGCTCAGATGAGAAAAGCTGGTAGCAGAGAAGTGCTTAGAGATCCCAGCCCACCTCCAGCATTCAAGCCTGAGCCACCAAAGGTAACATGGTTAAATCAAACTGAAGGGAAAGCTCATCTTTCTAGTGAATCCATAGTGCCATGCATTATGAGCCATGCTGCTTCACATGGGCCAGATGAGTGGGGTGGGGCCAGTCCCTGGGGTAGATTGAGCCCCGTGCAGCAGGATCAGGCTCTGGAGCCTGGCACCATCCCCTCCTGGTCTCATGCTCTAGGACTGGTCCCCAGGTTTGGTGCTGCCCCCTCCTGCCTCTGTGCACCAGGACTGGTCCTCAGGGGCCTGGTACTGCCACCCCAGTGTTCTGGGATTGGGTCTCAGGGGCCTGGCACTGCCTTTTCCCAGTTCCCCACACTGGGATTGGACCCTGAGGGCTCCTGGTCTAGCATGTAGGGTCCAGGGCTCCCCGTGGGGCTGGAAATTTGGCAGTGGGGGAGCAGTGCCACTTAAATCAGGATTGTTCAATTAGCAACCCATGGGCGACGTGACCCTTCGAGGGGTTAAATTGGATCCCCGAGGCTCCTGCCCAGCCGCCACTTTCTCCATTGCTCTGGATGCAGACAGTGGAGTGGCTATCCTTTTGGGTTTGGCAGTGGAGGTTGGGCTGTGTAGAAGCCTATGTGAAGGAAATGAAAAATCCCAGAGAGAGTGGGCATGTGCCCTATGTAACATTCTCATCCACAAAGTACAGAAAAACATCTTTGTCTTGATTCTTTCTTTCTTTCTTTCTTTCTTTCTTTCTTCCATCTATTTATAACTTCTATAAAGGATGAAATGGAACTGTCAGATTTTATTGTTTATTATAAAATTACTGTATTCACTCATGTACACACAAAGCTTTTCCCTCAAAATTAATTAAATCGTGTGTTTTTAAGCAAGGACGTTGTGGAATGGCTTCTGGGAGCTCTGCTCTCTTCCTAGCCATATCCAGAAGGGGCAGAGTCCTGTCATCAGTGCCCTCCCTTTCCTGGATGTGGCAGGCGTTCAACCATGTTGAGTACATGCTGCGTGGCAGATGAGATTCTGGAAAAAATAACTTCGTTCTCCCTCTTCCCCCCCCACCCCACTCTGCCTCCCCCAGATAAGAAATTTTTCCTTAAAGGAAAAATATTCCCCTGAAGAGACTGGATCTGCTGCTGCGTGTGGACTACATTGTGTTTTTAATTCTTGCAGGGCAAGGTGCAAAGCAGAGAAGATCCATATGACCTGCTCAGGAACTATGAGTCGAAGCCAAGTGTCTCTAGTATTGCCAGCAATGAGAGCTTAACTGTGTCAGCCAAAGCAGCACCTCCCCCAGTTTTGGCAAAACCTACCTTTGGGCGTCCCATCTTGAAAACCTCTCAGCCAGCAATTCCACCTGCAGAGGAGGAGGAGGAGGACAAAGTGGAGGAACCTGCAGATATAGAGAATGCTCCAAAATCTGTGCTGGGGAAAGTTAAAATATTTGAGCAGATGGATCACAAGGCAAGAAAGCAAAGAATACAAGAGCTGCAAGAGGCACAGAATGCCAGGGTATGAAAAACCTATTCCTTTCTCCCCACTTTCATCCTGTGATGATGCCCTCCAGGAGGTTGAATACACATTAGGACCCCAGTAGTGTTCCTTTCAACAAAGGGATTGCTGTCTCGGAACCAGAAAAATACCAAATTATATTCTAAAAATTGAACGTCTACAACTTTCATTAATTTGATTTCAAAAAATATTTTTGTCCTGATTTACGTGTGTTTGTGCAGTGTACATAGATGTGATTGCACACTAACTTAAAATTAAGTCTTACTCTTGTATATTGTGGGGGACATGGGGGGG